TATCTATGTAAATATATATAATATATATATGTAGTTATATATATATTTTATATATATAAAAAATTATGTAGTAACTGCAATGTACTTATTTTTTTCATGCATTGTGTCCCCTGAAATGCAAAGTGTATTGCTTTCAGATGATCTGTCTGAAGTTGCTTCTCTGCCACTTTGTGTAAAAAATAGCATAGGAAATAAGTCTTTGTAGATTCTGCATGGTTTGGGCTCTGAAAGGTGTCTGTATGGATTCTTTCCAAATCATGTTTTCAATTGATCCCAGGAGTGAACTAGACCTGCTCAGAACAGAGCTGTATTTAATTTTATCGTATGTTACAACCGATGATTCATTGTGGGTCATTGCGGACGGTTCCCCACAGTGGGATTGGTCACCTTTGTAATTTTTCTTTTAAGCCAACATATTACCACCAACAAGAAACATGGTTCTCGTTACCAGCTGCAGCCTTCCCAGAAGGTCTCCCCTAAAAGAACATACCTGCTGCCATCAGCAGCTGGATACCGGACCTGCAGCTGCTCTGAGCAGAGCTCCTTATTTCAGGGTTGCTTTACAGCAACCTGTAAGGTACAGGAAATACCTCAGTTATAGACACCTTTGAAAAGTACATGGCAAAATCCACCAAAAAGTGTATTCTGGAGGAAGAACAGAAACAGGCTTATATGTGTACACTCAGTTTAGACATTTTTAACTGGGATACTTCTATTGACAGGATGAAAACATACTTAATATTTTGCTAAACAGTTAAAATTATCATGTTAAATGGATTTGAAATGCTTAATTAAACACTATTATTAATGTACTATCTTCCTAAGCATTTGTAGGTGAGAATGCATCTCAGATTTTTTTCATGGCATGAGCATTTAAAAGTGCAGAGAGAAGCAAATGAAAAAGGTGTAGTGAGCGCTTCCTGAGTAGAGCATTGGTCAGTGCTGCCTTCTACTTCCTTATAAGTCAAATTCAATATACTTATTTCAAATGAAATAAAATTTTAACCACCCGAGTCAAAGAAGATTGAAGACAAATAGTGTGATTTGAAAAACAAATTTCATAAGCAAATGCTATTCAAGAAGTCAGTGGATTTTTCCGTCAAATTTGCTGTTTTTAAGAAATGTTGTTAAAACTTAAAAAATAAAAAAGTTATGCAATATTTCTTCTATGCAAATATGTATGAGCATGCACACTTAATTAACAAGGCGTTAAGTATCTAGTCAAGGGTTTTAGTAGGACTTTACTCTGCAAAATACTGGGGGCTAATTCATGCATGTAGCTCTACTTATGAGTCTGTTCATGTGTAACAGATTAAAGGGAATACTAAAGGTAAACAATTATATTGAAGCCAGCAAAATTCTTCTTCAGTTTTCAGTGATTTTTTTTTCCACGTACAAGAAAAATAATATTTTTCCCTAGTTATCTTCCCTATCTGTGATCATTTGTGTGTTTTTACATTTGGGCTAGAACGCTTGTGAAAGCTTTCTAAGCCTGCTTCAATGGAGAAAAATAATTTTTCTGTAAAGTGGGAGGTGCGTAGGGAAGTGCAACTTCGATATTTGGAAAGCCGAACAAGAGACATGTTCTTTTTAAAAAACCCAACAAAACCAGCCAACAAAAAAAGCCCAAAACAACCACCAAAAACAAACTGCAAAAATCCTCCCCCAAACCCCTAATAGCCTCAAAAGACCTTTTTGAGAGAGATTGTGACTAAAACTGCCCGAAATGTAGACTGGAGAGACTTCAAACTATCCAAATAAAATGCACGTAACTCTAGAGGGAGAGGGGGCAGACTCTACAGTCAAATAATGCCTCTAAAGAACCCTTCCTGTCTCAGGCAGAAGTGTTTCTGGTATTAAGAAGATGGCCCACAAACTACGAAAATGCCAGCAAAGCAGCAAAGGCACTTTTGAACACGATGAGCTATCCTGTTCTTTCATCATACGGCAGAAAGTCAAAAGAAAAAGAGAGCTGTATAAGTGTATTGGGTCTGGCTGAGATGGAGTTAATTTTCCCCACAGCAGCCCTCATAGTGCTGTGCTTTGTACTGGTAGCTACAAAGGTGTTGATAACTCACCAGTGTTTTGGGTACTTCTGAGCAGCGCTCCACAGCATCACTGTCTCTCCTCCAACATTCCCCCCTCACCAGTAGGCTGGGGGTGGGCAAGATCTTGGGAGGACTCAGCCGGAACAGCTGACCCCAACTGACCAAAGGGATATTCCACACCATATGATGTCTGCTCAGCAACAAGGGTGGTGGTGGTGGTGCGGGGGGCATTCGTTATTACGACATTTGTCTTCTGGAGCAACCGCTGCGTGTACTGAAGTCCTATTTCCCGGGAAGTGGCTGGACATTGCCTGCTGATGGGAAGTAGAGAATAAATGTTTTGTTTTCCTTTGCTTCCGAGTGTGGCCTTTGGTTTTGCTTTATTAAAAACTGCCTTTATCTTGACCCATGAGTTTTTTTCCATCTTATTTTCTCCCCTCCCTGTCCTGCTGAGGAAGGGAGTGATAGAGTGGCTTGGTGACCACCTGGTGTTCAGTCAAGGTCAACCCACCACAATAATATACAAGGAGAAATAAAGTAGGAAAAAAAGTAGACAAAAATATGGAAAACAGTAAGAAATGCATCCATTTAGGAAAATAACAAACGTAAGAAAATGAACACTTTTATTGTTCATTTTCTAGTGACTGCGGTCACTATAAAATCAATAGAAGTGCTGTAGAAATTTAGGTTGGAAGAAAAATGCTGGTATTGCAAATAGCAATAATAAATTCACTCTCAATTTCATATCTTGTTAATTATGTAAAACAACTGTTGCTTGCTAAACTTGCACAAAATTATATAATATTATGAATACTAATGGCGGATTAGACACTTGGATATCTGTATCATAGAATTACTTTTTTGTGACGTGCTATACAGAGAACTTACAGGGCAAATTAGAAAAAGAATTACAGTCTGAAGTTTGAAGAGAAATATTACCAATCCCAAAACAAATATAATCTAAATGCTTAAAATCTTTCAGGAGTTATAAAAGCATCAGGAAAATAAAGATTTTATTTCAATATTAGATAGTAATTTTATTTACCTCACTTGGACGGGGAAAAAAAGTAGTTTAGCTAAACAATTGAAGCAGTGTAAAAATACAGCTTAGGAAATGTACTTTGTTAACATTAAAATCACACAGTAAAAGAGTGTATAGAGATAATATAACATTTAAAATAATTTCAGAAAAAAACTTAGATACAAGTAGACTAAACTAAAAAGCAAAATTTGCAACAAAAAATTGAAGAGCCAGATACATCAAACAGAATTGAAACAATCTAAATCACGGGCAATACTGAAAAAGAAGTATTTGAACAGAAAACTGGAGCAAAGAAATGCAGAAGAGCAAAAAGGTAAAATATCAAAGTAAGGAGAGTTTTAAAACTTTACTGCTTCCCAGACCAGTGAGATAGATTTGCACGACTGATTCGAGCGTAAAGGAAGACAAATATCTCCAGTGCCATGTAGCAGTAAAACATGATCTTTTAAGTCCAAGGAACACAGTGGAAGTTAAATGCCCTGTAGAAGAGGTTAAATGTTTTGGTCCTACCGAAACAGTAAGCTGTTGTCCTATTCGTCAGGCTCTAACGAAAATCAATGCAGCTGGTCTCCCTTGTCCTGCTGATCTGCAGAGAACATAGGCAAAGCTTTTGGAGTTGTTTGTACTCCCGTTTGACTGCTGAGCAGCCTGCTTTTAAATTACACCTCCTCCCGAAAGCAATGCCAAAGCATTTACTAAATTTTAGCTGACAAGATTATAACAAGAATGGACAGTCTATTCTTTTCTACTTGAATTTCTGCTTTTTCTCAGTGCCTTTTTTTTTTTTTCCCTTCCCTTTTTCACTGTTGCTCTGAAAAAATCTAGTGGAAAGTTGACCCTCAGCCCCTCCTTTTTCTCCCCATTTGAAAACCATAGGGACAGTCCTCATCCAGCAGTCTTCAGACAGAGATATTTTCAGCTGGTGGCAGCTAGTTTTTTCTGTCACTCAGGTAGAAAAAGGTACATAACAGGGGAACAACTGAAAAGACCTGCCGATAAAAAAAATCTGTTGTGCTTTTTAGTACTTGTTTAGGGCTCATTCCTGCAAGTTTCCGTATCTGGCAGTCTTGCTCCCTAGAAAGATCATTATAAATGCTGGGCATTTGTACAAGCAGCTCCTCAGTGGTTTCCTAAGCATGAGAATAGCAGAGTTTTTAATTGATTAACTCCACTCCAATGGGGTAGTTTTGTGGAGTAACTAAAAGTAAGAACACAGAGGAGGAAAGGCTTTTTTCTTAAGCTTGATAACTGCATGTACCAAAACCAGATGAGCTTACCAGAATGTGGACACAATTATTCAAAACATATCAAATGTCCCTTTACAATTTCAAGGGTTTAATTGTACATTTCCATGGTATATTAATACTTTTTGCTGGCTATTTTACAGCCATGTGCATGTCATGTGTGCCATGAGGGTTTTTTTTATGCCTACTTGGTTAAGTTCTGTGCGAGGGGATAGATAGAAATAAATAATCTTTAAGCTATTTAGCCGCTGACAAGACGGCTCGTGTTTGCAGCCTAGGGCACCGAAAGTTTCAGATTGGAATAAATGACAAGGCATCAATGGTTTTTTGGAAGCCGAATGATCAAATTTCATTTAATGGCCTCAAGAGTATTTGCGTGAAAAAAGATGACGGAGAGGGGAAAGGCTCTGATATGAAATAAAACTGCAGCCCCTTTACATTTCTCTGTGCGATTAACAAGCCTATTTTTATAAAGACAGTTTTTTTAGTGTTCCCTCAGAATCTCATCAGGACTATTCCTGGGTTGGAAAAAATACCTCTTCTGGGAGGTCTTATTATTTCTTTTTTTTTCTCGGTAGGCCTCCCAAAATGTGGTAGTTTAGGTGAGAAAGACGTTACTAAGGTAATATAAGCTGACTTTACAGGACTTGAAACATTTGCAAAATGGGAGTTGGAATCACTCCTCACAACCCACATATTGGAAAATTTTGTAAACATCAAAAGTTTAAAAATTAATTTTTTTTACTACTTCTGATTTAAGGCACTAACAGATTGTGAAGTTGCTTTTTTTTTTTTTGAGTGCTGTCTAGCACGTAGCATACTTTTTGCTGTATTTGAAAAGCCTTTCAGTTTCCACTTTTTTAATCACAGATTTCTTCTGAGAGGGAACTAAGACACTGCAGACTGTTTCTTTCTAGTAAATTATTCCAACTCTTCACTGACTGCAGCCATTTATTTGCTTGGTTTAAAATACCGTGCTCTTGTGATTGTCCTGAATATCTGCCACGACTGATTTCCTAGGAAACTCATTGCTAGCAGTATTGTATGTATATTCTATAAGTAGGCCGATTTTATTTATTTTTTTTCCTTCCTCCATTAAAAACTATTTTCTCCATTTCTGTACTGGGGTTTTACCTTGCCAGTGCTACACCTTCAGTTCTCCTCTTACACAGTGAAACAGAGCAATGAACAGACCATGGTCGTAAAATTTAAAAAAGGATTTGACACAAATATGAACGGTAAGACTCCAAGGGGACAAAAAGCACATAACTATGTGCTTTAACTACGTAGGTAATGTATTCAAGTGAGTAAAGTTATTCAAACACTTAAAAGTGACCGTGGGCTTGTATGTTTTCCTCATTCAAGGTCATTTTTTTTCACAGACAGAAGTCTAAAGTAGTTTTATTTAAGTCATACTGCAACAATTCTAGATTTACATGGAGATGATTAGAGTTGGAGAATAAAATTTGACCAAAAATCAGCTTTTCACAGAAGACTTATATAACCATATAATGTCACTATGCAAATACAATGCTAAGGAGTATTACTGCTGCAGTAAACTGATAGCACTAATGTAGATGTTCAGCATTTAAATTAAACCCCACCAGTGTGAAAAAGGGCTGTTAACATCTTTTTGCTTCAAACTGAATAACTTTATAAATCAAAGAAAACCTTCTGCATCCAAGATGTCTCTTTTTGCAACAAAATTTGAAGAAATGTGTTTTTCCATTCTCTGCCCTGATATTGTCAAACAAAAATTTCTAAGTGCCTTAAAAAAAGTAGTAATTAAGAATTTAATATTTACATCATTACACAATAAAGAGGTAAGCAAGCTGCACATTTGTAACACTCTTTTAATGTTCTTTACTAAAATATGTGCTGCTGTAGTATGGCAGTAATAGTGGAAAGATGTGATCAGGAACTAAGTTTTTAATTTAAACCCAGCCATTTGTGGCCAAGCCTCTGTGCTTTGCAAGCCAGCAGAAATGTTCAAGGACTCAGCCAGGTGATACACAGATAATCAGTTATTTGTTAAGTATACATATAATGACATGACTTGTACCATGGAAGATTGGGATACTTGGGGCATAGGCCATTTTGCTTGTAATCCTTTGAAAATCTAACTGAAAGTTAGTTTCCCCATTTGATTTGAAATGTGTGTAGATAACCTTACCTAAATTTTGTGACATCAATTTAAGTAACTAAATCCAGTTTGAATGTTGCTCAGCTGTTGTTACAGACAAATATAGCAAAGGCAAAAAGGTTTTCAGAAACTATCATGTTTGGTGTTAATATACGAGCAAAATTATATCGCAGAACATCTGGGGATTTCTGTTCCTACTAAAGGAAATGCACAGTGCTTAGCCCCTGCTTTTCCAAAAAGCATCCAGAGTGTTAGCTTGGATCCTGGAGCACTTAGGGATTACCCACCAACAGGATTCTACGTGAAGGAAAGATGTGCCCAGCAACCAGAAATGTGGGGAAAAAAATGTGTCTTCTGTGAGTTACCTGAACATGCTTGAGATGCTTGAGTAGCAATGTTTGAGGGACCAGATGGAGACGAACATGATGAGCAAAAATAACTGTGTGGTGGTCTGAGTAGCTTCTCAGAGTAGCTCTGAGAAGAAACCTAGAACAGTGGGAGGAAGACAGCTGGTACGAACATAAAATATTTCTGAGGCTTTTCAAAGGACAGATGTTTTCTCCCCATTGTTCTCCGCTTGTGTTGCTTCACTTTTGTTGGGTGATGAATACAAAGTGGTACACTTAGCGGTAGAACTGGTTGAGTTTTAGAGGGTTGGAATGTTCTTAGTTGTTAAAATTGACATTTATTACATGAAAAACTTTAAAAGCAACAAAATTTTTCAATTGAAAGAATTTCTATTACAAAACTTATGTGCTGATATCTAAGGGGAATTTACAGCATCAGCAATTTCCTTTCTTTTGAAAATGCTGTTCTTATTCCATTGCAAAAGTTCAAGTTCAAAATGTTCTGATTTTATCATTTTTTCCATTTGAAATAAAAAAATAACTTAGTCAAAATTTCCCATAAAGGAAAACCTATTTTTCAGACACTGCTGTTATCTGAATAAGGGCCAAATTCTGCTCTTAGCTTCTATGCCAGCCTTGAGGGACCAAATGTACATCTCGTTATACTGTAGACATTTATGGGGTGTAATTAATTTTCTCATTTAAAAAAGAAAGAAATCCCAGGGATTTGTTCTGTGCTGCTTTGAAATGAAACTCAGCTGTCACTCTGGAGAATGGTTTAGGTTGTCAGACATGATGCAAGAAGGCTGGTTTGCATTCATAGTACCAGCCATTGTAGCCTTGTGAAAAATCTGGGGTGTGTGTGCATTTGTGTGCCTTTCTCTTTTCTGTTTGATCTCAGTCAGTGCTTCATTTTCTCCCTGTTTGCTTCATTATATTTTCTATTGTTGTAAGTTTATAAAAAAATAAAAGTATATACTTTGCCTTTCCTTTTTTCCCCTTATTTCTTCCTTCTTTCCACAGCTGGCACATCTTGGCTTTTCTTCCTCTTCTTCTGTACTGTCTCATGAACATACTCTTCTATGACATTTGTTTTTCTACACTTTTTTTTTCTGTCCGACTGTTTCCCTTTCCTCTCTTTGATATGTTATCAGGCTCTCTTTTCTGTCTTTGCTTTATCCACCTTATTTTTTTTATTATCCATGCTTTTTGCTCTCTGTCAATTCCCCCATTTTGTCACCCTCTCCATCTCCTTGTAATTTCTTCTGGCTCCCTCACCATACCCTTCATCACTGTTTGCTATCCCCAACACATACTGTTGCATGACACCCTGACTCTTTCATGCCTACCTCCTACCAGTACCTGGTACCCTCCTCACATGTACGTCTTTCTGCAGATGTCATTAGTCGCATTAGGACTGGGATGAGACAAGAGAAAGCGTTTTTCTCCTGTTCCCGTAAGGATCTGGATATGCATGTGGTCTGTTTGCTGTTCAGACGAGTGTACATCCATCATCTGCAAAGTCCATTGAATAGTCTGTGGATAGTTACAGATTGTATTTTTTAACTGCCTCATACTACCTTATAATAGGATTTGATGTCTTTCATGGGTATATGAGACCAGACTCCTCTTGGCAACATCTCTTTGATTTTGAAGTTATGTTTGTGTGACAGAAAGCAGCCTCATCCATCCTTGTTTTGCTGCATTTATATGGCACAGGAATGTAACACTTCTGATTTATTTATTTTTTCTCAGTTGCAAATGTTTTTATTGGGAAACCATTGCTATTCTGAAAACCTCTGCAACTTGGCTTAACATGTGTTTTCTAATATATGAATAGGAAAGTTAGAAGTCCAGCTTAAATGAAAGTTGCTGTTATTTACAAGACTGTCACTGGTTTTAGAAGAAGGTTCTCTGCTTCTGTGACATGTTAATATCGGCAGGCGATCTAAACATATTTGCTGGAAGGACAATCTGAAGGGACAATTACAGAATTCACATGAACATGCTGCTCACTTCTAAGAAGAAAAATAATGTGTC